TGTCAGTATATTGTGTGTATGTGTGCTGAATGAAGGACTGGCCCTTTCTGGACATCTCTGTAGTGCTCAGGATATGTCGCTATATTGTGTGTGTGCTGAATGAAGGACTGGCCCCTTCTGGACATCTCTGTAGTGCTCAGGATAAGTCAGTATATTGTGTGTATGTGTGCTGAATGAAGGACTGTCCCCTTCTGGACATCTCTATAGTGCTCAGGATATGTCAGTATATTGTGTGTATGTGTGCTGAATGAAGGACTGGCCCTTTCTGGACATCTCTGTAGTGCTCAGGATATGTCGTTGTATTGTGCGTGTGCTGAATGAAGGACTGGCCCCTTCCAGCGCCATCTCTTCTTGGCTCGTTCTTCTAACTCTCCCCACCCTAGTCCCACTGTTTCTTTGGTTTTTGCATCTTCTTCCCCCTCTCTTTCCCTATGTATGTTCTACTGCTCTAGACCAGCCAGTAATTCATAGGCTTTTGCTTTGGAGTTTTAAAAAAATTGTGATAGGAATATACATTACACAACATCTGCCAATTCAGCATTTTTTATATGTACACTCCCGTGACATTGATTACATTAATCATGTTGCAACCATCACCCATACCCACTGCCAGAGTTTCCATCGCCATTAACAGGTATTGAATGCTTCCTATAAATAACTCCCTCTTTCTCCCTCTCTTGGTCTCTACACATTTGCCTGTTCTGTTTCATATAGGTGGGGTCATACATTATTTGCCCTTTTGTGTCTGACTTATTTCACTCAGCATAATTTTTCAAAGTTCATCCATGTTGTAGCATGGATCAGGACTTCATTTTTCTTTATGGTGGAATAACATTTCGTTGTATGAATATGCCACATTTTGTCAAAGACTGAAGAAGAATTGATGCCTTTGCATTATGGTGTTGAAGAATATTGACTATACCATGGACTGCCAAAAGAACGAACAAATCTATCTTGGAAGAAGTACAACCAGAATGCTCCTTAGAAGCGAGGTGGCTAGACTTCGTCTCACATACTTTTGGTCATGTTATCAGGAAGGACCAGTCCCTGGAGAAGGACATCATGCTTGGGAGAGTAGAGCGTTAGTGAAAAAGAGGAAGACCCTCAATGAGGTGGGTTGACACGGTGGCTGCAACAGTGGGCTCAAGCATAACAACGATTGTGAGGATGGCTCAGGACCAGGCAGTTTCGTTCTGTTGTACACAGGGTCGCTATGAGTCGGAACTGACTCCATGGCACCTGACAACAACAACATTCATCTGTTGACGAACACTTGGGTTGTTCTCTACCTTTTGGTGATGGTGAATAGGGTTGCTATGAACATTGGTGTACAAGTATCTGTTTGTGTTCCTGCTTTGGATTCTTTGGAGTATATACCTAGGAGTGCAGTTACTGGGTCACATGACAATTCTATGCTTAACTTTTTGAGGAATCGCTGTGCTGTTTTCTACGGAGGCTGTACCATTTTGCATGCCCAGCAGCAGTGGATGAGGTTTCCAGTTTCCCCACATTCGCTGAATTTTGCTTTGGATTTTTGTCTTAGGCTGTTGAATCTGTTTAGTGTAATTAGTATGAGGGTGACTCACTGTTCCTTTTTGCTTGGTACTGTCCCAGTTTTAGTGGAAAATCCCTCAGTTACCTACTGTTGGCTAACCTAGTTAGTACTGGCCTCGGAAACTTCTGTGTCACGAGTGACTTGGATGATTCTGATGTTTTGTTTTCTTGCAGTCAGTATGCAAATTATTTTCATCATAGATTGTACTATCAGGTGATGTTATGTCAAGGAAATGAGTAATCTCTCTTCCTGTTTAACCTTTAGCCAAAGGCTTTTGAACAGTACTTGAATCTGGAAGACAGCAGACTGCTGAATCATCTGAAGATGTGTTCCGTGATGTCCAGACTTCCCTATGATCTCTGGTTCAAGAGGTGCTTTGCAGGCTGCTTGCCTGAATCCAGTCTACAGAGGCAAGTATTTCTTTCAGTGGCACATTGAAACCTTGGATTCAGAGAAGAACCCTGGTTTTTCATGTGTCATTCCTCAGAACATAAATTTGTCTTCGAGCAATACAGTAATATGACAGTTACTTCTCCAGCAGCTAACTTAACAGCACATGACTCTGCTTATTATTGAAAAAAGTGCATTTAGAAAAATGGAGGGCCCTTGATGTGTTAGATGCTATACAACATTTACATTTGCAGTAGTCTCCAGGAGTTTGTATAGATACGGGCTTTTCCTTTCCAGAGATGTGGTAGATGTTAATCTAGAGAAAGTGTTGTTATTTCTCAGTTTCATCATAGTGTCTTTAAAGATTTGAGCCTCGAACTCAGCCTGTTCAGTCTGTTTCAGACCCCTGTTACGGGCACGCACTGCAGTTTCCAAAGTGGAGCAGGTGCTGAGTCCCGGCCCCTCCCCTCCGAGACCTGCTGATGTAGTTGGGAAGAAAGGCAATGCACGGAGAACATGACAGGACAATATATAACTAAGCATACGTCTCTGTAGTATTGGCTTTCAGAGTTATAGGAATTATTACCAGAATAATTATTTTAGTGTGGTTACAAGTCAGCAGGACTTACTGGGTGGTGCAAATGGTTAACACGCTCGGCTCCTACCTGAAAGGTTGGAGGTTCGAGTCCACCCGGAGGTACCTCAGAAGAAAGGCCTGGCGGCCAGTTTCCAAAAAATCAACCACTGAAACCTTACTCTGACACACGTGCCATGAGTTGGAATCCACTCAATGGCAACTGGTTTTACTAGGTCAGTTAAGTGGCTTCTTAGCCCTTAGAGAAGTTTCAGGATATGTCAGAGCCACTGGGAAATAAAATTAATTTATATAATCTCATATGCTGCTTTTGTTGCTGTTCCTTAGTGTGTACTGCTTCTATTAGTATTAAAAAATATTAGCAAAATCGAAACTTTGGTTTCGGACTTTGCTTTCCATCCCCCGAAGTGTCAGGATTTGAAACATTAGGCAGTGGGCGGTTGGTGGAGTCATAGCAGAGCACCGTCTTCCGTGATCTTTCCTTTTTCCTTCCAGCTTCTGATTGTGTCGGAGAGGTTTCAAAGGACTGATCGAGTTTGTTGTTGATGTTTTAATGATTATTTCACAATTGTTTTTTTCGGAAGCTTATGCTTAAAATAGGAGTAATTTGATTTTCTCTTGTAATTTGAGATGTCTAGGTAACCATAAATTTCAGACTCACGTGATTTGATCATGTCTCTTTATTTTTGTAGAGTTTGGGATAAAGTCGTAAGCGGATCCTGTAAGATCCTAGTTTTCGTAGCTGTGGAAATTTTATTAACCTTTAAAATAAAAGTAATGGCACTCAACAGTGCCGAGAAGATCACAAAGTTTCTGGAAAATGTAAGTGGGCTTAATATGATTTGATTTTGAATCCAGACATGAAGTCAGTTTAGCAAGCCAGATTTTCGTGCTGTCTTAAATGATTTCACAGAAATGATATATTTTTAGATTATAAGAGACATTTTTTTTCCCTTGAAATTTTTTTTTTTGGATTTAAAGTTGGTCTGTGGGTGGTGATCTTTTGCACCCTCTGCCTTGGGGGATGATGGTGGCGGCCGTGAGACTGACATCACTCCAGGAGCACGACGGGATGAGGGGGAGGGGAGACCTGTTGCTGTAGGATAAGTGATTGTTGTTAAGGTTTGGGGCGATTGTGTAAACTCTCGTTTCTGTTAGTATCTCCAGCATAATCCCACTTGGGTTAGTTAACGTGCTGAAGTATTAACTTAGGATGTGCTGACCAAGGTCTGAGGGAATCAGCTTTTCCCCCTGTGCATTTCGGTATCCTCCTTACCAGGTGACAGCTGGATGTGAAGAGGCTTATGCCAGAATGAATTCCACAGGAGCCGAAACCTATGCTTTTTTCTTTTTTTAATCAGTCAATATTAACATTTGAAAAGTACCTGGTAAATAATACCCTGGTGGTGCAGTGGTTAAAGCTGTTGGCTGCTAACCAAAAGGTCGGTGGTTCGAACCTACCAGCCGCTCCATGGGAGAAAGATGTGGCAGTCTACTTCTGTAAAGATTTACAGCCTTGGAAACCCAGTGGGGCAGTTCTACTCTGTCCTACAGGGTTGCTATGAGTTGGAATTGACTCGACAGCGGTGGGTTTTGGGTTAAGTGGATGTGTGTTGAGTAAATGAATCGTCATCATTATAGCAATTAGTTGCCAACAGTGTCAGGGTCTGTGCTCAGTATTTTTCATGGATTAGCTCATGTAATCCTTTAACCAGCTCTAAGAAGAAGAACCATCATCATCCCCATTTTAAAGGTAGTTTAGGTAAGCTGCCCCATGTCACGCAGTTAATAGGCAGTACAGGATTTGAACCCAGAAGATTTCATACCAGAGCTCTGTAGCATGTTCTCAGGTGGCATGTGAAACAAAGTTCCTGGAAGTCTTCTTTTTAAAAAAAAAATTATTTCCATGCCTGTCTTTCTTTCCTACCTTCTTCCCTCCCTCCCTCCTCCCCTCTTCCTTCTTCCCTCTCTTCCTCCCTCCCTCCCGCTCTCCCTCACTCTATTTCTGCTTTCTATCTTTCTTTGTTTAACTGTAACAAAATACCCGGCACTTAAACAGTCTTCACATGTATGGTTTGTGACATTAATTATGTTCATCGTGTTTTTCAACCGTTACTGTTCACAGAAGCTCAGTGTCCCCTAAGCAATGACTCCTCCTTTGCCCTCTCTCCAGCCTGCTGCTGGTAACCACTAATAGAATTTGCTCTCTACACACATTTGCCGATTCTGGATATTTATGGAAGTGGGATCATACAATATTTGTCCTTTTGTGACTAACTTATTTTACACAACACCTGGAAACCTCTTATGCTGTCACTTTCTGAAAAACAGTGAAAGAAAACTCCAGTAGAAATAAGTTTTATGCCACAGTGAATGAGGGAGATACTGAAGTTGTTCACTCTGAAATTTCAAGAAGATCGTTTTGCTTGTTCACAGATTCCCCAGGACAGCTCGGATGCAATTGTGAGTAAGGCCATCGACTTATGGCACAAACACTGTGGGACCCCGGTGCATTCAGCCTGAACGCTCCTGATACTTGGGGACCATCTTCCAGGCCTGCCTTGAGCATTTTGTTTTGGGGACGTGGTCTACAAAACTGGGTGGAAATCATGTTCTTGCTCTGGTGCTCAAAGTGTAACTTTTTTCCCAGTAAAATTATTTAACTAAGATACCCGCTATTGCTGTGCTGAGGAGCAGCAGCTTTTGGTTATACAGAAGCGCAGAGTGCAGCTCTGAACAGCATTTTTAAAGGGTTATTAGAAAATAACTCCCAGTTTTAAAGCCGATCAGTCAAGGTGGGTGGGCATATTAATAAGCAGTGCGGGACTGAGCCTGCTGCCTCTCCCTAATCAGAACCAAGCTAGCTACTGTCTGAGGTCTGTTTCTGGAATAAAGAACAAATTCCCTTTCTTGACACCTCAGATTTGGCTTTTGTCAATTCAGTACTTGTTTAAATCTAAGCTGTCTTTTGAGGCTTCATCTTGCTAAATTGGCTTTCAACAAGTTCTTACATTTTTTTTTTTTCTCTTTGTGAAAAATGAAATTCTGGTTGAAATTAAAGTTACTGAACAAAATCTGTCTAAATTTACCTACTAGGACTTTTTCTTGATGGGTCATTAAATGTTTGGATGTCTGTAGGGAGCACTCTGCCACGCACAGTAGGAGAGGGAGAAATTGCAGGGTAATAGCTAGTGGCCCTGGGCCGTATTGTGCCACGTAGTGGAAACTGTTCATTGGACAGTTCCAGACTTCGAGACGCTGGTCAGTGAAATGGGGCCCATTGTCTAAGACTGGCGTGTGAAAGAGGAACACAGAAATGTCACGATTCAGCTGTCAGACCTACGAGAGTCTGAATTGGGTTCTCCAGCACCTCCCGCTCACAAGGAGGAGGGAGACAATGAAATGAAGGAGTAGCAGTTCTGAGAATTCAGTCCTTCCCTAATGTGTAAAATAGATGTTGAGAAAGAGTTCAGAGAAAGCCGAGTTGTTGGAACCAGCTGGTACCTCTGTACAGTAACATATTCAGGAATATTTAATTTTTTAAAACAAAACACCACACAGAAGAAAACCCTCCTGTCTTAGGTTGGGTTCTCTACAGAAGCAAAATCAGTGAAGTGTATATATATAGAGAGAGATTGATTTATCTCAAGGAAATGGCTCATGTGGTTGTAGAGGTTGACAAGTCCCAAGTCTGTGGGTCAGGCATCAGGCTGGAGGCTTCTCTGATGCATGTAGCTGCAGAGACTGACCAACCCAAGATCGTCAGGTAAGACGGCAGGCTCCTGGCTCACAGGTTGCAGTGGCTAATGAATCCAAGACAGCAGGCCACTGGCTCAAGTCCCAAGAACTGGAGGTCAGATGATGAGCAGGATATAAAGTCCAGAGAGAGCAAAAGCTAGTGAGCTTTGCCAGAACATCATAGTATACATTGGATGCAGGCCACACCCCTGAGGGCACTCCTCTTACAGCTGATTGATTGATCACACCAGATCACATCTTGGAGGTGTTTACATTATATCACAAAATGGAGGATAACTATATCATTGCATGACTGCCAAATTACATCCTTATATAACTGCCAAACTACATCATTACATAACTGCAGAACTACTGAGAATCGTGGCCCGGCCAAGTTGACACACAACCTTAACCATCACAGCCCACCCCTTATGAACTTGGCACCGGTACACATCTCCTTAAACCATACACAATCTCTAAATGAAGACAATTACAAAATCATACTTGCGCCTGACACGATAAAACTAACTTGTACAACTGAAAACATACTAGCCATGGTTACATCTTATAAGTGAAGAAAACAAAAATACTTGATGCACACATACAAGAAAGGAATAAGCCTATTGCAATCCTCATTTCTGAAACTGGTCGTGTAGTCATAACTGGTATTTTGAACTACCTACTTCCACCACCCATTATGTATTCCCTTTGCCCTCAGCAAGCACCTCAGCTGGTTGTGGTTCATTCTCTGCCTGGTGGGTGACCCAAACCTTCATTCCTGAAGGATCTGGGCCATTATTAGTCATGTCAGAATTGGGTTGCTATAGTTTTCCATTGATTTTAATCATTTGAATCACAGGGCAGGGAAGTATTAAGAGGCATCCTAAGGGATCTCCTGTATTCCAGACATACTTTTCTTTACCTCCATTGTGTAATATCAGTCCAGTTTCCCATTAGTAATCAGGAATAGTCACACCAGCCAATACAGTAATTCCCTTTGCCTGTCGATCCAGAGATAGGAGGAGCCCAAAGTCGCTGAGTGGCATTCTTAACTTCCAGTTCAGTGGAATCATTATTGTGTCTCCTGGAGGGAGCATTCCTCCCTTTAGAGCTAATACGTCCTGACCTGCAGAGCATAGGGTTGCAGGGACGGAAAGCAAAAATTCTGTGAGTGGTTCACTAAGGGTAACAGTGGGTGGTGCCACTCCCATTTCCACCCCTTCATTCCTGGAACCATGAATCCTGGCTATAAGAGAAAGCAGCATATATTGGATGCTGGTTTAGAGCATATGCAGCCTCCTGGAGAACATTGCCCCAACCCTGCAAAGTATTGCCACCTAGCTGGTGCCACAGTTGTGTCTTTAGAAGGTCATTCCATCGTTCTGTCTAACCAGCTGCTTCAGGATGATGGGGAACACGGTAAGATCAGTGAATTCCATGCACATGGACTCATTGCTGTACTTCATTTGCTGTGACTTGAGTCCCTTGATCCGAGGCAATGCTGTGTGGGGTACCATGATGGTGGATATGGCATTCTGTAAGTCCATGGATGATAGTTTTGGCAGAAGCATTGCATGCTGCTGTTGTTAGGTGCCATCGAGTCAGTTCCAACTCATAGCAACCCTTATGTTTTACCAGTAAGTCTAGAGTCATTGACATTTCTTCCGTACTAGGTCCAATCAGCATAATGTCATCAATGTAACAGACCAGTGTGACATCTTGTGGAAGGGAAAGGCAATCAAGGTCCCTGTGGACTAAGTTACAACATAGGGCTGGAGAGTTGTTATACCCCTGAGGCAGGACAGTGAGGGTGTATTACTGGCCTTGCCAGCTAAAGGCAAACTGCTTCTGGTGTTCCTTCGAAACCAGAATCAAGAAAAAGGCATTGCCTAGATTAATAGCTGCATATCAGATACAGGGAGATGTATTAATTTGCTGAAGCATTGAAATCACATCTGGAACAGCAGCTACAGTTGGAGTCACCACCTAGTTTATGATAATCCACTGTCATTCTCCAAAATCCATCTGTTTCTTTTCTTAGGCCAAATAGGTGAGTTGAATGGGTATGTGGTGGTAATCACTACCCCTGCATCCTTCAAGTCCTTGATGGTGGCAGTAATCTTTGCAGTCTCTCCAGAAAAGTGGTATTGCTTTTGTTTTACTGTTTCTCTAGTAGGGGCAGTTCCAATGGCTTCCACTTGGATTTTCCCACCATAATAGCCCTTAATCCACTCGTCAGGGATCCAATGTGGGGGTTCCACCAGTTGCTGAGTATATCTGTTCCAATTATGTATTCCGGAACTGGAGAAATCACTACAGGATGATTTCAGGGACCCACTGGACTCACCGTGAGCCAAACCTGAACAAAGACTCCATTAATAACCTGATCTCCATATGCCCCTATGCTGATTGGTAGGCCGCAGTGACGTTTTGGGTGTGATGGTTAAGATTGTGTGTCAGCTTGGCTGGGCCATGATTCTCCGTGTTTTGGCAGTTGTATAATGTGATCACTTCCCTGTTGAAATTTGATATGTGATCATCCCCATGATGATATCTGCTGTGGTATTGGTGGGCGCAAGGCCTGTGGCAGCTCACCTTCCCCCCTCAGCCTTCATCTTTCTGCCTTCCGCTGCCTAGCTCTTCCTGCTTGCCTAGCTGGGGCTTTTGTTTGTTCTAGATCCTACAGCTGGTTCTTGTTCGTCTGACCTCTGGTTCTTGGGACTTGAGCTAGCAGCTTACCTGCAGTCTTGCCTGCCATTCTTGAGATTCATTGATCTTCACAGCCTGCAACAGCCCTACTCTCCAGCCTGCAGTCTTGGGTTCACCAGCCTCTGCGGCTATGTAAATCAGCAGAAGCCTGTAACAGCCCTGTTCTCTGGCCTGCCACTCTTGGGTTCACCAGCCCCCACGGCTATGTGAATCAGGAGAATCCTCATTATGCTCCGCGGACTTGGGATGTTACAGCCTCTAAGAACTGAGTGAGCCATTTCCTTGATATAAATCTCTCTCTCTCTCTGTCTCTTTACATATATATACACTTCACTGGTTTTGTTTCTCTAGAGAGAACCCAGCCTAAGACATTGGGTCTCCTGGAATTAGTGTCAGTTCAGAGCCAGTATCCAGTAATCCCTCAAAATTCTGATTATTTCCTTTTCCCCAGTTAACTGTCACTCTCATAAAAGGCAACAGATCCCTTTGAGGTAGGTTGGGAGAAAGATAAACAATATAAATTTTTGACAGTATAGTGAGGTCCTTCATCAAGGAGACCCAACCTCCCCCTCATTCAAGGGGTTGTGGGTCTGTAAACTGGTTCAAGTCTGGGGATTGATTGAGGGGCCATGACTGTATTCCAGCAATTCAAGTTAGACTGCTGTCCACTTGACCTAGAATTCTTCTGCTTGTACAAATCAAGTAAATATTTAATAGATTTCCCATCTGTTTCACTTCTAGGGACACTATGACTAAGTAGCCAATGCCATAAATCCATACAAGTCAGACTATTCTGATTACTGCTTTGACTCTGCTATCCATTACGGTAGCCACACCCACCTTGTCTCTGTCAACTGAGTGACGCCACTTGGCCCCTACTACCACAGGATCCAGCCAGTCCCATTGTAGTTTTTGTTGTTAGGTGCTGCCGAGTTCGTTCCTACTCATAGCGACACTTTGTACAACAGAACGAAACACTGTTTGGTACTGCTCCATTCTCACAATCCTTGTTATGCTTGAGCCCATTGTTGCAGCCAGCGTGTCAGTCCCTATCGTTGAGGGTCTTCCTCTTTTTCACTGACCCTCTGCTTTATCAAGCATGATGTCCAGGGCCCGATCCCTCCTGACAGCATTTCCAAAGTGTGTGAGACGTAGTCTCGCCATCCTTGCTTCTAAGGAGCATTCAGGCTGTACTTCTTCCAAAACAGATTTGTTCGTTCTT